CTGAGGCACGAAGCCAGCTGGGTCACTTTGGGCCAGTCCCTCCCTCTCACCCCTAGGAAGAAGGCAATGGCAAATCACTTCCAAAAATCTTGCCAACAAAACTGCAGGGACTTGTCCGTGCAGCTGTCAAGATTGACTCAAAGGCGCATGCTCACACACACACATACTACATTGCATTAGTCCAAAATCCCATGAATACTGGAAGCTAACTTCTTCTATATTATACAGCTGCTACAAATAATTTCTCCATTCCACTCCCTATTGAATCATGTCTCCCAAATTAAACAATAGAGCAGGCCTGCACAACTTGTAGAGAGGAAAGGGCCACATTGGTAAATTAAAAATAACTGCAAGTTGCAAAGGAATACCGTGCATGCCAATCAGCTGTTCGGCAGCTACTGGTGCAGCAACAGCAGTGTTGGAGCTGGTGGCTGCAGCAAGACATGGATGCCTTAGAGGCACTTAGCAGTGCATCTTTTGGGGTAGTGGCAGCACTGAATGTATTGACTTTTTAAAAAATACTAGCGGTCCGCACGTTGTGCAGGCCTGCAATAGAGGATGCTAGAATAGTGCTCAGTATTAAATGTGACCAGAAATGCTGCTCAACCAGTTTAGAATGGCTTGACTTAATTGAGAATTTTGCTTCTGGGCAGAAAATACAGAATAAGACAGAGTTGGGTGTATGTGAAGAGATCACCTGTACTATTCTCAAAGCACTGTCCCCATACCTGATACAGACTCACACCTGCAACCAGAAGGCTTGCCTCCAGATCCCATGATGATACCAAAGCTGGCAACTCTACATATATTTATGAAGAATGGCTCAAATTATTAAAGTTGTGCATCACGGGGAAAAGTAGCTATTATTGTTATCACATTTTCTAGCAGTTCCAGCAATGGAGATGGGCACCAGTTTCCCATGTATACAAGAGAAAAGATACTGACCATAAATAAATTCTTATTCATACTAGGAATCATAAAATCATAGAATATAAGGTTTGGAAGGGACCCTGGATATGATCCAGTCCAACCCATTGCCCAGTGCAGGAATTTATCACGACACTATTCCCAACAGATGGCCATCTAGCATCTGGTTAAACATCTCCAGTGATTGAGAATCCAGTAAGTTCCCAAGGTAGCGTGTTCCACTGTTGACTAGTTCCTACATTAGGATTTTTTTTCCTGATTTCCAACTAAAATCTATTTTCTTTTAATAAAAACCCATTGCTTCTTGTCCTATTTCTGGAACAATTCTGAATAATTCTGCCCTGGTTTCTATATGACAGTACTTCAGATACTTGAAAAGAACTACAGGTAGTCCTCAGTTAACGACCACTTATTCAGTGACTGTTCAAAGTTCTGACGGCACTGTTGCAGCCACTGCAGGGTCTCCACAGTCATGTGATTGCCATTTGTGACCTTCACTGCCAGCTTCCAATAAACAAAGTCAGTGGGGAATCCAGCAGGAGGTCACAGATGGGATCACCATGCTTAATGACCATATGGGATTCACTTAACAACCACAATTGGAACTGCCTGAACTGCTGTTGTAAGTTGGTGTGGTCTTGTGATGTCATACTTCATGACCAGGCTGTTTAACAATAGAATTTCTGGTCCAAATTGCTGTTGTTAACCAAAGAATACCTATACCATGATCCCCCATGGTTATATCTTCTCTAGGCTAAATTTACTCAGCACCTCCAACCATTCCACATTAGTTTTTTCTTCCGAGTTTCTTATCATCTTAGTTGTTCTAATCTGGATACACTCCAGTTTCTTAATGTATTTTCTAAATTGTGGTGCCCAGAACAGGATGCAATATTCTAGGTATGATCTGGCCAATGGAGAATGGAAAGGAATAACTTTTGATCTTGACACTATATTTTTGTTGATGCAGCCTAGGACTGTGTGTGTGTGTGTGTGTTTTAATAGCTATATCATATCATTGGCTCTTGTTCAGCTTGTGATCTACCAAGACAGCCAGGCCCTTTTTGCATGTATTGCTACACAGTATGGCTACTGCCGTTCTATTTCCTTTGATTTTTCCAACCTACAAATGTATGAGTTTTGCATCTGTCCCTGTTGAAATTCATCCTGTTGGTTTCTACCCACTGTTCCAGCTTGTCAATATTCTCCTGACTATTGATACAGTTGTTTACCATTGCTCCATCTTTATATTGTGGCCAAATGTCATAATCATGTTTTCCACTCCAGCACAAACCTAGAATGGAGCCCTGTGAAATGCCACTCAAAGATTTATAGGAACATCCTCAACTCCACCAAGAGAGACCAAAGTTCTCTAGACCTCTTCACCCTCCAAAATAAATACACACACTAACATGCACAGGGAGAAAAAAATTGCTACCCAATCCTTCACAATTTGCTACAGACTGCAACTCACTCAAAGACTGTTTCAATTCAAAAATTAACTGGCGTGATTTTTTTAATAGTTCATGGGTGACTGTGAAATTACACTGCACCTTCATCTCTGAAAACTTTATACTGTCATACCTCTTCCAATAACATGCTGTCCAAAAGTATCTTGTTTATTACTATTATTCTATGTGGCATCTGGAATAAATACAATGTATTTATATTAAAGTCCAAGGAGAACAATTTTATTATTAGGACGGTAGGACTCTATTATAAAACTCTAAATTCTCAAATTCCACAAGTACTGCACAGCCTGAATTTTAAAGAAATTTTATCCAGTGAGAAAGAGGGCATACATTCTAATAATAGAATTATCTTCATTTTCCTAGAATATTTTTATTGCCTTAAAAAAAATTGAAATTCACCTACAACCTGAAAATATATTTGAGACCTCATAAAATGACAAATCAGGTAATAAGAATGGATTTTGGAAACCAGATTATAGCACTAGATTAAAAAATCCTGTTACCATTGTACAGCACCCTTATGGAGCTGTCTTCCATGACTTATTTTTTTAAGAAAAACTTTATTTCAGTGGGTTTTTTTTTTATTGTTTACTGTCAAGAACTGTTTTCTGATCCAACTGCTAGTAAAAATAGTAGCACAGGGAAAAAGCGCTTCATATGCCCATGCTCAGAAAACTAGGAAAAATAATGCTGTATGTGTATCACTAATCCATCAAAAGACATTATCATAGAAAAGAAATATTTTTAAAAGTTCATTTGTAACAGCCAGGCACTGAACAGTGTTTCAATTATACATGCACACTTTTGTACCTACTTCTCCATGTGCTTCTTTAGGGAATGTAAAATAATTTTCCCCAATTATCCGAAACCCCCAGTACGAAATGGTTAAACAAAAAAAGGTGGAAATGGATCCAGGGAAGCCAAGGGAGGCTGAAAACCTCTCGTGGTTAATATAAAATGGGGAGGGGGGAGGGAGGG